GTGCCAGTTGGAATGGGAAGTTTTCCCTCAACCTGCATATTCTCCTGATATTGCCCCTTCCGATTACCATTTGTTTTGTTCTTTGCAAAACTTTCTTCTTGGAAAAAAATTTAATAATGAAGAATGCCTCAAAAATGCATTGACCGAAATTTTTGCATCAAAATCACAAGAATTTTACAACAGAGGGATTAAAATGCTTCCTGAGCATTGGGCACAAGTAGTAGAAAACAACGGCAACTATATTGTTGGTTAAATTTTGTTGTATTGTTTAAATAAATTCGATTTTTAAAAAAGTATTAGAAAACGACATTAATTATTACTAGACCTAATATACTAGGAGCCCAGCACGCGAGTCGCTGGTCCGGCCCTGCCTCCCTCTCTGGTCCTTGAAACAGCCCCGGCTGCTGCTGATCAGGCCCTCCCCCAGCGCAGGTGTGTGGGGGCTCCTGCCACCCCGCCCCCGACGCTGGGCACGCAACCTCCTCCTGTCTGGTTGACCCGTTACGGTGTCTGGGTTAATTAGCATATTTCTCTATTATATATTTAGATTCGTTTCAGGTGTATAGGTTTTTCCAAAGCTGGGGAAGAGATTGGAGCCACTGAACTGAAGGTGGAGGTGAGGGGGGTGACTCGGGAGGGGGATACAGACAGGAAGGCTTTGGCCAAAAGACAGAAGTCACAAAGATGGACTCCAAGTTCAAGGGCCTGGCCTCCACCACACCTGGGCCTGTGGAGACAGAATTGCCAGTTAGCAGGTCTACCAGCAACTCACTGGGATTTCTTAAAGGGTTTTATTGCCAAGGAAATGTTTATAGCCCGCAAAAGGGGCCTAGACTCCCCCAGCCTTCACAGAAATCCTCAGGCTTCTTCCACAAATGTCCCCAAACCGTATCAACAGGAGGAGGCTGCCATATGGGCACTCCCACTCAGGCACGACCACGGGACATCCTACTGCAGAGCAGGACCATGGGCTTCCAGACTGGTTGGCCAGAAACCCACTCCACCTCCAGGGCAGGGAGCCTTGCCCGCCCCTACCTGCAGGGGAAAGTATACAACTTGCATCCGTGACTGCTGTGTGCAATGTTCCCTTCACTCTTTCCCCAAATGGCAGTGACTGCTGTACCTGCTTCTTCAACTGTGACATGGGATAATATTTCTACTTACCACATGGTATTGTTGTGAAGATTACATTACATAAACAATGCTTAGATCTCATGGCACAGAGTAAGTGCTCAATTAGTGTTGGATGTGAGCTGTGTTGTGGTGGCCTGGGTGTGTAGGAAACAGTTAAATTGTTCATTAATTTTTAGATTGTCAGAAGGGAGCAGTCACCCATGGACTTAGGAGGGCTGGAGGGGCCCTGACCATCCTGGACTGGGGACTCAGTGAGCTATGGGGTACCCTTTGGATGCAGTAGCTGGATCTGATTTTTGCCTGTTTCCCTTGGGGAAAAGGTGGGTAAGTCTCTGTGTTTATTTGGTGTGTATGTGTGTGTGTGTGTGTGTGTGTGGTTTTTTTCTGTTTTTTTGTTTGTTTGTGTGTGTTTATGGGAAATATAATTAAATTCGGATCATTCTTTAAAATGTATAAGAAGGGCTATGTTTACAGGGGAAGCCACACTTGAAATTGAAGACTCAGTACAACCTTTATAATAAAGTATTAGTCATAACAAAACATAACTATTCATTCTACAGATTATCATTTTCCCCATGCCCTTCTTATACATTTGGGGGGCAAAGGATGAAGGGAAATGAACATCCATGGGATGTTCTCTAGTATCTGAACCCCATTTTGTGACACTGCCCCCGAACCCCCTCCCGGCCAGTCATTCCTAACAATAGAAATGCAAGGACTCGTGTGTTTCCGTTTTCCTGGAATGAAGGTGCTGAAAAGGAAACGGTGGGGGAAGTCAGAAAACAGAGGGAGGGACAGGTTGTGGTGGGCCATGACTGCCAAGCTGTGGGGTGTAGACTTCATTCTTTTACTCAGAATGGTAAGGAGGTGGAGGTCCCCCGCCACACCCCTCTTTGGTGACGTCCAACAGCTCTCACAGCCTGTGCTCCGCACCGGGCCCCTCCTGCCCCACGGTTACCACCACTGCCCATTCACGAGTCCCGGCCGGGCCTTCCCTGGGCGGCAGGCGGCTACCCTCGCATGGCGGGTCTCGTGCTTCACCGGTCTCCTCCCGGCTCTGGCACAGCCCAGGGGACACAGCTGGTGTAAGTACCTAACAGACAACAAACGCTGATGTAGACTCACTTTATTGAAGAGATTTTCTCCTGGAGTTCTAAACACAGAATGAATGCTGTTGGGGCAAGTGCTTCCTAAGCATCGTTGCATTTAAATGAACCATAGGGTAATGCTTACAGGGGAAGTCACACTTGAAATTGAAGACTCGGTACAACCTTTATAACAAAGTATCAGTCATAACAAAACATAACTATTCATTCTACAGATTATCATCTTCCCCAGCATGACCACTGGATAGGAAAACGTTGTATAGACATCTAAGGAGCCCCCTAATTTTTTTTTAGAAAAATGACACAGTAATACAAATTACATTTTCCAAATCTTTACTAGAAACAAACTATGACATCCATTTTGAAAAAGCACCAGTCAACCCTAACCAAAGTAATGACTGCACACTTTTGCTCCTCAGAATTGACAATCTTATACATTTCATCTGTCTCCTGTAGGAAAGAGTGAAAATGGTTTTATCAAGTGCCTGTGTCAATGGGTGTGTATCTTATATCGTGCTCCAAAGTAAACACAAGAAAACGAAAAACACACACTCTTATGTGAATGAAACATACGAATGGAAAATACCCTTAGTTAGCACAAAGGCAAAATCAACTGACTTTTAGTCAGCACTAGTGTCTTAAGGATAGTTTCTTTATTAATACTTGTTACGGAAGTGTTTTAAAGGCATAGGTATAAATGCACATGCAAGCAGCTTGCCTCTCTCTGCATACCCACTTCCCTAGCTTTGCTTCTCCATTGCAAGGGCTCAAGCTGCTGAGCCCTTAGCTACATGGGCTATAGTGCCTAGTAAGCATCCTATATAATAAAGGGGTAATATGCAAATCGACCGAACAGCGGAATGACCGGTCGCTATGATGCACACTGACCACCAGGAGGTAGACGCTCAATGCAAGAGGTGCCTCCTGGTGGTCAGTGTGCTCCCACAGAGGGAGCACCGTTCAGCCACAAGCCAGGCTGACGGCTGGTGAGTGCAGTGGCAGTTAAGGGAGCCTCTTCTGCCTCTGCAGCAGTGCTAAGAATGTCTGACTGACGGCTTATGTCAGCTCCCGACAGGAGCAGGCCTACGCCATCAGTCAGACATCCCCTGAAGGCTCCCAGACTGCTAAAGGGTGCAGGCTTAGCTGAGGGACTCGCCCCACCCCTCAAGTGCATGAATGTCATGCATCAGCCCTCTAGTTTTTAAATAAAGAAGATCACATAATTTTTTCCCCCAAAATTAAAGAGGTACAGAAAAGACTATGGAACATAGTGAGGAAAAAAAGCATACCATCAAAAACAAAAGTATGATGTTCAAATTTATAGAAAAGCTATTTCGCGTCTGTTAGTAACTCACTAATGGGCAGATTGGACCAGGACTGAAGAGGCAGCCAAGCCAGGGGCCCTGTGTGCCTGACACAAGTGGACATCTTTGAGGGTGCTCTATCGTTATGATTGCGGTGACCATTTTCACAAGGTGGTAGGCTCTTCAAGGTCAGAGATGTGGCATATTGATATCTGTATCCCCGGTTCTTAGCATTGTCTTTCACGTGATAGACACACAGTAAACATTTCTGGGGACTGGGTTCAATGCCTCCTTGCTTTCAAAACCGTTTTTTGAGAACTACCTATTCACCTAATTCATTCAGTCCGCTAAGGCGGGATGAAAAATAGGCTTCATCTCCCTGACGGACGGCAGTGGATGCCTAGACGTGGTGAGGATGTGGATTCTACAACCGAGTCCTGGTACAGAGGAAAGGAGTGCCGCCTTGAGAGAAGGATGGCACAGATGCTCCAGATGCCCCGGCCCCGGCTAGAAGGCATGGAACACTCACCCATGTTACCTTTCTGTGGCTATGCTGCTTCTCAGATGCTCTGCTCTAAACCATTGCTCACTGCACGCTGGCTGACCAGAAAGGCCAAGGCCTTGCTCCTCCAACTACCTATGCCGCAGCAGGCAGAGTCACGCCTTTACCTGGAAACTTGAAAACACAGCATCCACAGTGCTCAGTGAGTGAGCGTTTACTGAAAGAGAACAAGCATTATTTTCTTGATCGTTTGCTTGAGATTTGTCTATCTCAGTATGACTTTAATTGATATCTAAGGCATTTGGAATTACTTGAGATTTGGGTTCCAAAATAAATGGCAGAGTTACAACTCTCTTTGGTATTCAGGCGCAATCTTTATCTGCTTGTTTCCTTCTAGTATCCATAACCTTCTCAGTACTTCATGGTTATGACTGAACCAACACTGTTGAAATAACCAACTCTCACCCATTCACCCCAAAAACTTTCAAAGAACACGAAAGAGAGAAGCCTCTGAAACTAAAGGTGTTGAAAAGAGAGCCAGAAAGAATGACAGAAAGAACCAGTAACGCCCCTCTCTCTACCAGTCCACGCTCAGGCTCAGGACTTACGCTGCCATTCAGACCCTTCTCAGTGAACAAGGGGGCTTCTCGCAGGGTGGCCACCATGGGGAGCCTCCCAGGAACCCCCTCTCCATAATGGGAGGTTAGCACTCCACAAAAAGGATCTCAGAGCCGAAACCGGTTTGGCTCAGTGGATAGAGCGTCGGCCTGCAGACTGAAAGGTATCAGGTTCAATTCCGGTCAAGGGCATGTACCTTGGTTGCGGGCACATCCCCAGTAGGGGGGGGGGGGGTGCAAGAGGCAGCTGATCAATGTTTCTCTCTCATTGATGTTTCTGACTCTCTATCCTCTCTTCCTCTCTGTAAAAAAATCAATAAAATATATATTTTAAAAAAAGTATCTCAGAAAAGAAAATGCCTTTAGAGAAAGGAAGAAAACCAAGGGATAATATCAAAGAGCAAAATCCTGGAGGTGAGGGGAGATTTTCAAAGCAACATCAGTTTTCACATAGGTAATCTTCACTGGAACCTTGGCCCCAACACGGAAACAGAGCTAAATTAAAATGACCCTCAAAATATCAACACAGCTCATGTGCACTGCAGGAAGGAGGGTGTCCCAATCCACTGGTCCATTCCTATTGGACATTCCACCTTGCACACACTGCTGGCAGTCCAGAGCAACAAAACCTTATGAAAAGTCAGCATATCTTAGAGAGAATTATAATATCCCAGCCTACACACACACACACACACACACACACACACACACACACACACAGTGAGAGAAAGAGAGAGAGAGAGAGAGAGACAGTGAGAGAGAGAAAGGGGGGGGGGCACATGTACATACAAAGCAAACCTGATTTATAAAAAGAGCTTTGTGGATTAGAGTATGCCTTCCCTTGGGCCAAGAATCTAGTTGTTGGAATTAGGAAAACGGACCCAAAGAATGTAATCAGGAAGGGAACTAGTTGGCAGGACTAACATTGTTCATATAATATTTACAAGCTAATATCCAATTGCTCATCTAGAACTAATTCAACTGGCCAGAATCTTCTAAATGCAAAATGTCAAGCCTTAACAAGTTAAGCTCTGTAGCAACAGAAGTTAACACTATCTAAAATAAATTATATTTTTTAAAATACATGTAATAAAATTATAGGTCACTAGAAATTCAATTCTATAATGAATATAAAGTAATATAAACCTAGTGTTAAAGTACCATTCCCAGGAAGATTTCAGCGCAAAAAAATAAAAGGCTACATATTTGAGAATAAACGGATATGGCTTAGAAACCCTTAAATAGATTTCTGAGTACTGAGGGGTGTTCTATCATAGGACTAGTTGGTGACAAGATACAAAGATCTGTCTCCACAATAAAGGCTTACCTCACTTTACCTAGCAGTGTTCCTGAAAAGTTGTGCAAATAGTTTTTACAGCCAGACCCTCATTTTAAATATGCCAGGCGGCCACGACTGTAGACACCCTGGAGTGAGCCCTGGAAGACAGGCACTGTTGAAGCAGCGGCTCCCGAGACCCCGTCTGCACGTGGGAAGCATCTGCGGTGATGAGCTTGCATGACCCTGTCCGCTTTCCTGCCAGCTCTCCTGGAGGGAGGCGCGCTAACTGGAATGTTAGGGTGGAATCCAGTGCACCGCTGACCTGGTTCCGTTACAAAAGATCAGAGAAGTTCAGAAAGTGTTTTCCAATCAAAACAAATTTCCTGTAAGTATGTGTGTCTTTTTTAAGAAATGCTGATCTATGATGGGCAGAAGCTTTTATCCACTGTTAACTGACTTATTAAAAACACGCAACTGCTTGAACTGGGCTCCCTAGGATTGAACAATCAAGTAGAGCTCCTTACCCAACTTCAGAAATAGCCCCAGCTGCCACACCGCCTCTGTCGGAGCCTCGTCCCCGCTCTCCAGCGCAAGCCGTTCACAGCTTCCCTCACCCTACCCCACCAAAGCAAAGCGTGAATTCAAAGGCTAAAAGTAAATTAGAAAGATGCTTGGTCTAAATAGGATAAGGTTATTATTATTATTTTTTTAGTCTTAAAAAGAAAGAACTAAGTCAAATACATTCAATCAAAGTAACTCTTAAAAGGTGGTTATTTTTCTTATTGGGTGCTTTCTTCCCCTCTGAATTTACGACTCCACTTTAAAATATATCAATATATGGATGCATCCTTCTAAATAATATATCCTCTATTCAATAAGCAATGCAACTTCTCTGGCCATATATCTGCTACCTGCCACATAAATGAAATAAGGGCTTATATCTGCCTATTTACTCAGCATTTTATAATTGCAAAATAAGACTGGAAAAAGCACTGAGGACGTTTTTATGCAAGTTTTGGAGGCTTGCAAGGCTTCACTGTAGAGTTCCATCACTGTATGTTTCCTGGAAGGTAGTGTGCAAATAAGGTATCTGAACATTATATGCATGGTTATAATTGGGGGAAAGGTGGAAACTATAGTGTTAATACAACTGTTTGTCAAGTAAATTAATAAACAACAATAACAACAAAAAAACACTCTCACTTACGGTATTAGGATATTTCAAGTGACTGAAATGAAACAGATTTTAAAATCATCTTTACCATTCTCACCAATTACTGACTTTGGCCCTTTACGAAGCAAACACAATGCATCTTCTTTTCAATGATCAGTTTTAGTCACTGGCTCACGGTTATCCTAGCTGGATGAAAACATGGTCATGGGTTTGCTCCCATAATTTAAAAACCAAATAATTAAAAAAATAATAGTGTTGGTCTCTCTTTCTCCACAAGTTTTCAAGTAATTAGTTCAAGTAAGCTTATTTACAGCTGTTGTCTATGTGACCTATGAAGTCAGCCTCCCTGGAAATGGAGCCCTAGTCTCATTTTTTGTCTTGAACCAGGCTTCTTGTAACTGCTAAGCCGCTTCAGTCATGTTTCCGTTTTATTGGGCAGATAAAGAGAGGACACCAGCAGGTTGTGTCCAAAGGCTGGAAAACGCCTGAATGCTTCCCAGCTGTCGGCGAAGATGTTGTACTTGAGGAACACGCGATGCTCCAGGCTGGTGGACAGGGTCACGTCCCTGCTCATGATGTAGATGCCGTCGTTGTGCAGCGCGCAAGTCAAGTTGAGGCCCGACTTGGACGTGTTCTCCTTGAGGTAGAGCCACTGCCGGGTGACAGTGTTGTAGGACTGCACGGTGAGCATGTCCTCGCTCTGGCTGCTCCTCCGGTTGGGCCCCAGTTCGTGGAGACAGCCCCCCACGATGTAGATGGTCTCCTCCACCGACACCATCTGCTGCTTGCGGATGTGGACGTCGCACGTTTCAAAGAGGGTCCAGATGTCGGCGGAGGGGCAGTACTGCAGAATGTTCATGTTCCGGTCTGAAACGAGAAAAGAGAGGCCAAATCTGACACGGCCACGAGTTACCACCACCAGCTGCCCAGGCTGTGTATCACCGACCTCCCCCCCCCCCCCCCCCCGATAACCTGGTGCACAGAGGCAAGCAGAGGCTGGAAACACAGTTTTGTCAATGGCTGGGAGGAGATCCGTTTAGAATCGTCCCCACTCACTTCGCATGCACACACGTCCCCGCCCTGGGATGTTCTCAGAATCAGTGAGACCAGCGAGGTGAGAAGTTGTGATCTGGGCAGGTCCCCTGCTCCCTGACACCCTCACACTTTTTATTTATTTATTTATTTATTTACTTTTAAAGACACTTCTTTTTTTACGTCTATCTTCTGATTCTTTGACAGAAGCATGTTGGATTTTTTAATATATATATATTTTTTTTTATTGGCTTCAGAGAGGAAGGAAGAGGGAGAGATAGAAACATTAATGATGAAAGAGAATCATGGATCGACTGCCTCCTGTACACCCCATACTGGGGATTGAGCCTGTAACCCAGGCAAGTGTCATGACTTCCTGGTTCAAAGGTCGATCCACGGAACCACGGCAGCCGGGCCCTTACACCTTTTAGAACCACCAAGCCAATCAATGTAAGGAGAATCGGAGCCTCAGAAGCGTCATCAATACCTACAGACTACTGACTATGTAATACAGACCGGCTGAGCCCCCAGCGATCTATTCTTGACAATGGATTCCACAAAACCAGACAAGTGAGCAGGTTTCCTACAGGCTGTCAAAAGGACAGAAAATGTCAGGAGAAATGCAAGTCTCACCTCTGGCTGTCAAACCTTAGAATCACTGGCCATTCTACTTCCCAACTCTTAACACAGAGACACACTGACAAAGGCCCTTCCCTTCCCTGGCCCATTTCCCAGGAGACAGCCATGGTGTGGATAACATCAGGCAGTGGAAGAGACTGCTGGCTCTGACATTACTCTGAATGAAGGGGAAGCACTGCCTGCTCTCTTTTTAAAAATGCGTGTGACATGTAAAATATTTAGTTTTGCCCTACCAGAGAGGCTCAGGTGGTTGAGCATCCTTCCGTTCATTGAAAAGTTGCTGGCTGGATTTCTAGTCAGGATACAAACCTGGGCTGTGGGTATGATCCCCAGTTGGGGAGCCTACAGAAGGCAACCGATCAATGTTTCTCACACTGATCTCGCTCTCTTCCTTCCCCTCTCTAAACATGTCCTCAACTGAGGATTAAAATTATAATAATAACAAATAATAATATATATCTGGTTTCATTTTTCTTTTCCTTTTTCCTTTTCTCCTCTAGGAAAGAATAAATAGACTATTTTAGCCTCACGAGGGGAGAGAGGGAAGTGCCGAGTTATCAGAAAGAATGAACTTCTCGTGTGTTGTGTTTTATTTTATTTTATTATTTTTTTAAAGTATATTTTTATTGATTTCAGAGAGGAAGGGAGAGGTAGAGAGAGCTAGAAACATCAATGATGAGAGGGAATCATTGATTGGCTGCCTCTTGCACGCCCCCTACTGGGGATCAAGCGCACAACCTGGGCATGTGCCCTTGTCTAGAATTGAAACTGGGACCCTTCAGTCCGCAGGCTACCGCTCCATCCACTGAGCCAAGCCAGCCAGGGCTGTGTGCTGTGCTTTAAAAAAACAACACAATCTATCAGTGTAAGACAGCTCAGCGGGGGAACTGACAGTACGCACAAGTGGACAGCATTCCCACGGCTGCGAAAGTGGGAGCAGTGGGAGCTGCGCTTCTACCTGAGCCAGAAGGACCCGCCACAGGGCAACAGTTAAAGAGCTCCACCACGAGGTCCGGTGCCAAGACAAGTGCCTGCACAGGGGGCCCAGAGGGGATGGAGAGGAGACCAGCCCAGACCTGCAGGGGTTTCAGAACTGCTATAGCTTAAGGGAACTGTCCTCCTGTTTCCCACCCACACTAACCCCGCCCCCCAACCCCCCAATATTTTTTTTTAATTGCAGCTTTTGTGACAAAGCTCAATCTAGGAATCAGCCCCGGGAAGCTTGGTTGCTGATCTATCAGAAAGTGCTCCTTAGTAACTTGGCTTCCCACGGCATGAATGAAGGACTTATTCTGGTGAAGCATCAGTCTTTCTCAGTTCCAGGTCGGAAGGTCCTTCCAGGTCTCCTGTAAATGTTTTCTCTCCTCACCCAACAAGGCTCAGACCATGAGGAGGTGGTTTTGAGTTGGAGGAATGACCTTTTCTCTTTTACATGCAGAGTTGATTCTGACGTTTAACTAATTACCCTTCTTCCCTTTAGTAGTTACTGCTACTTTCGAATGAATTTTTTTTAAGTCTTTAGTGCCTGCCCAAGAATTATAATAGTCAAATAACTATCATAAAAATCATGAACTATAACTTTTCTGAGTTTTGAAAGTCTCACCTAATGAAGTCAGCAGGCTGAGAACCCAATTTGAAGTCCAGAGCGTTTGTGTGTGTATTTTGTGTGTGTGTGTTTTTCATAACAATTATGGTTTGTTTTATGTACAAAGAACTGTTAGGAAATGCTGGGAAAAGGCTAACCAGTGGAGAGGGCAGCTTCAGCGTACAAGGGACGGCCCTGCCCTCTCATCTTAGAAAACTCGTTTTCAGCGCTTACACAAACATCCCTCCATCCACCTCGCCTCACCATCCCATCATGGGCCTTTGGCTTGGGGAACCTGGGACAGGAATCACAGTGGGTGGCCCGAGGGAAAAAGGGTACATTCGCCATGGCTTTTGAAACTAGAAAACACACAAGCCGGGGTTTTCCAGGTCAGATCTAAGGAACACTGGCTCAGCCAGGGTCACGGAAAAACTGGGCCATCTCCCAGCAGGGCACTCTGGGTCACGGTGCGGCCTGCCAGGCTTCACAGCTCCCGCTCGGGAGGGAGGCCCGGAGGTCTGTGTGCGCAGGACAGCCCGCCGGGCGCACGCTGTGTTACAACAGCCAGAGGGGAGGCAGAATTCTTGGAAATGTTCACGAGTGACTAGCTGTACTTACTGTCTTCGGAGAAAAGACACAGACACGGGGGTACGTATGCGCACACAGGAATTCTCAAGAGGCTACGGTTTACTTAAGCACATAAAGTTGGCCACTGCAACCTGAACACCAATGTGGAAGATGAAAGAATTGAGCCCTAGCCAGTTTGGCTCAGTGGATACAGCACTGGCCCGTGGACTGAAGGGTCTCCGGTTCAATTCCGGTCAAGGGCAGGTACCTCAGTGGTTGGCTCGATCCTTGGCCATGGTCAGGGAGCGCATGCGGAGGCAGCCAATGGATAGGTCTCTCTCACATCGATGCTTCTCTTTCTCTGTCTCTCCCTCTCCCTCCCACTCTCTTAAAAAATCAAAAGGAAAATATCCTTGGGTGAGGATTAACAAAAGACAAAGAAAAAGAGAAAAGGATTGAGTGCTAGGATTCACCCTTCCCCCATTATTTGTAAAGGGAAGCTGGTAATTACCTGGTTTCCCTGAAAATAAGACAATGTCTTATATTAATTTTTGCTCCCAAAGATGCCCTAGGTCTTATTTTCAGGGGATGTCTTATTTTTCCATGAAGAAGAATATGGTACACATTTATTGTTAAATGAAAATAAAGGAAATTTATTACCTGTATACGGTACGGTAGTACGGTAGTTGTCAACACAAACCAGACAAACTGTGAATCCTACAGTATCAAGAATTTACTCATTTATTCAATGACAATCATGTCATCATCTTCTGGAACATCATCCTAACAATCCAATTCCTGAATTTCCTGGTGAATTTCTTGTGACTCCATTTCTTTAGAATCAGTGGACCAAATCTCTCATGTTTATCCTGGGGGGGGGGCCTTATTTTTGGGGGGATGCCTTATATTTCACTCAGAAGGAAACCTGTAAGTAGGTCTTATTTTCGGAGGGTGTCTTTATTTTCGGAGAAACATGGTATCTTCAGTGGAGAGTCACTAGGGAGGGACACTGGGAATAGCTCCTGGGTGGAACAGGATAAAAACCTGGGTGGAGTGGGAAGCTCACTGTTTCCCCTGCAGTGCTCTTTGTCACTGCCTCTTAAATGTGCAGGCAAACACACCGCTGGTAGTGAGTGAGCTGCATGGTGGCCCTCAAAAAGATACGTCCACCTCCCAACCCCCAGAACCTTGGAATGGGACCTTTTTTGGAGAAAGGGTCCTTGCAGGTCATCCTGGATGACTCAGGTGTGCTCTGAATTCAAGGAGAAACGTGTTCTTGAAACAGGGCTGGAAGCAGCAAGAAAGGATTTTCGCCCTGGCCGATGGCTCAGTGGGTTGGAGCACCATCCCATGTTCCACCAAAAATTCACCAGCTGGAGTCCTGATCAGAGCCTAGACCCAGGTTGTGGGTTTGACCCCTGGTTGGGGTGCATCTGAGAGGCAACCAGTCCATGTTTCTCTCTCACATCCTCTCACATGTTTCACTCCCTCTTTCTCTCTCTCTTTTTAATATCAATCAAAACATACTAAAAAGAAAGGAAGGATTCTCCTCTAGAGCCTTCTGAGGGAGCGAGACCCTACCGATACCTTGATTTAAGACTTCTGGTCTCCAGAACTATGAGAGAAAACACATTTCTGCTGTTTCAGGATACACGTTTATGGTCCCTGGTTAAATCAGCCACAGGAAACTAAAACAGCACCCACCAGCCTCCCCACCAAAGCATCTGTTTAGAGTTCGCTCTAAGAAGAATTAATGATAATTTTTTAAAAAGTGAATCAGATCCTCATAAAACACCTTTCGTTCAACTTCTTCCTCTAACATCAATCTCCAAAACAAGACGCAGTTGGTTATGGTGAAAAGAATGTTTGTCCCCTGTGCCTGTATCAGCACGTGGACTTCTGTCCTGTACTAAGTTACATGTGGACGCCTACAGCTTCATGAGCCACCAGCATCACTCCCCCAGGCCTGTCCTGCCCATGTCACACCACAGAGAAGTGACAGGTTATCTCACCCTGTCAAACAAAGTGGTCCCTGCGACTCCAATGTGGCCCAACGTCCTAGTAGTCCAGTTACTCCTTTTCTGAAAATTCTGGACATTCTACAGTCAGACAGAGCAAATGAAGAAATAAATCTCCTTGGAAACAACAGCTTTATGGGGGAGGCGAGAGATCAAAGGAAGGGCACCTCCTCCTGGTGGCCCGCCATTGCCTTTCTCCCCACAGCCAGGCCGTGTCCTGCCAATAAAGCCTGTGAGAGGCCTCCTGCTACGAAGAGCCGTATAAAACCTGCTGGAGGAATTTTTATCTCCAAACTGATGAACCATCAAATGCCCACCAACAATGTGGAAAACACATATGCACAGTTTAATAAATAGCAGAACCACCTCCCACCCGCCAGTCAGAAAAGAACTGTCTCTTGCTCCTCCTACATGTGTAAGCAACAGCGGAGAGCTGCGTTTCAGGATCTGCAGCTCCTATGCTTGTGCTCAGGAAGGGAGCAAATGATAACAAATCTCTGCAAAGCTGCCTGGCACTGATTCCATAGTGTTGCATGGGGGGGGGGGGGGGGAGAGGGAGATTCATGTGTGTTGGTGGAAAGGATGGGAATGTCCCAGCCAAGTCATAAGATGACAAACTATACGGCCAGCTTTCCAGAGCAGAAATACACATTTTCTTCACCGTTCTCCCTACCCCGTTCAGAGGCATCAAAGGCCCCTCCTGTCCAAACCACCCTGTCACACAGGACCCGCTTCCTCCTGGAGGTGTGAGTACACAGGACGTCATGCACACGATCGCACTTGTGTACGCCGGAGTGTTTCCTCTGGCAGCCTCTGCCCTTCCCCGGCTGCCTGCAAAGCTGACATAGGAGAGGACCACTTACGTGGCCCCTTCACTTACCTTTGGTCGTATATCCTCCAATGACATAGATTTTCCCCTTGCACTCGCACGCAGAGAACTCAGCCAGAGGATTGGGTAAGGGCGCGACAAAATTCCACGCATCCTGCTCGGGATTGTAACACTCGACATTGGACACGACCTGCCCGCCGATGGCGTAGAGTTTATAATTAACGGCCACAAGTTTGAAGTTAGACCTGAAAGACAGAACACAAGGGTTCACAAAGCCAGTTCTCCTGGCATGAACTTGTTTTAAAGAAATAAGACGACGGCAGGAACTGCCGAAGCAGAGCGGGGAACGTGTCAGACGGCAGGCGGAAACCCGCTGTTCATGTTGGGTGACATCCTGCCTGGGACAGAGGAATGGCCAAAGGGCATCTCAAATCTCACGCTGGTCCCCAGAAGGCTACAAGAATGGTGCAGTCTCCAAACTTCAGCAACTGAAGGTAAGCATTCAATATAACAAGAACTGATCTTGCTCAGCCTTACACCAGAACCAAAGTTACCCTGTTTACTAAACTCTGTTTACTAAACCTTCTTTTCAGGAGCAAGACCAAGTGTTAAGGGAGAAAAGCACCCACTCCACACCCTTGTCTTTCTACTCAGAATGTTTACCTCAGTTTTCCTACTACGTGGGTAGGCTCCATCTGGGGTAGTCACCAGCACTGCTTACACAGACAGGGGTATGCAAAGTGTGTTTGCTGAAGGGCGATTCAGAGACCCCCTTGCCAGGAGCACACCAAAGAGATTGCTGTTCCTTCCTCCTCCACAGGAGGATATCTTATATGGTGCTTCAAAACAGGTAAGGTGGGCAGGTAAGCACTGAACTGATTAAAACTATTTTGATCCAGCATTCTTAGGGTACTTACACATGTTAACAAATACTTCTATCAACAAGTGCTCACCTATCATAGCGTGAAATTATTTTTAAAAAGAGAAATACACTGATTTCAAGCCCCCTATTCAGTAAGAGAATTAAACGCTGCTCATAGGCTTCAGTACGGGGAAGAAGAAACATTTGGAAACGCTGGGCCAGTCTACTGTCTCGAGTTCACAATAGTATGAGCAGCAGCATGATGCAACAGAAAGACCTGGGGTGGAAATCGGAACACCAGGTTTGAGTCCCAGCTCTGCTGATAACCAGCTACCTGACTGGGGCCCAACCCTTCACTTCCTCCTCTCTAGCTTAGGGGTAATATCCAGCACAGAGTAGTCAAAACAATTAGAGCAAACAATTGATCAGAAAATACTACACCGAGATAAGATACTAGCATTATAGTTTCTCCATTTTCTAGTATCTATATATATAAAAGCCTAATATGCAAAGTGTCCCCTCGGGAGTTCAAAAGACTGGGAGTTTGATCACTTGCTGTGACATGCGCTGACCACCAGGGGGCGGTGCAGAATGAACTAAGACCTCGGCTGGCAGCTGGCAGCCAGGGAAGGGAGGCCCCAGCCAGCAGCCACTAGGGACCCTACCCATGCACTAATACTGGGTCTCTTGTATGAAATAAAGAGACTAGACCAGGTGAATTTAGAGGCCACGTCTAACAACAAAACAATAATTTCTTCAAAAGTAACAATATCCAAAGAAAGAAGGGGACAGAGGCTTCACAGGAGCGAAGAATATAAGAGGGTAAACAAAGAAGCACAGTGCACCAGGGAGCATGCCGGACCTAAAGGTGTTTGATAAACACTAATGCACTAGGACTCGGGACATCTGTGAGTGATAGCCACCTACTAAAAAACTGAGATTTCTTAAAGCGCTTGTAATGTTTATACCTAAGTAAGATTTAGTTTTGCTTTTCAAATCAGAGAGTGAATAGAGTCCTCTTCATCAAGAAGCCCATACTGTCTATTAAACCCAGCCAGCCATTCCATGTTTCATGCCAACAGACCTCACAGAGGCGGCAACTACTGGGGGGTCCCTGATTCATGTTGCTTACTTTTCCTGCTGCCAATGGTCCTTAAAATCTGACCATGATGCCCTCTCTCTGCGTGCAAATTTGGGGAACCAAGGGAAATAAAGCTTGTAAATAAGCACTAAATTTCAACCAGCCCACAATTTGTTTTTGCTCCGCGTTAGGTACACAGATAGTAAATTTTGTCAGATCAAAACAGTTCTGAGTATTCACCCAAGCAGCATCATTTGTCCTGAGCAAACATGCAAAGGGCTTCTTTTTGAGGCTGAATGAATAGGCAGTTAAAAGCAAATGCTATCTCTCCAGACCCCAACATGCTCGAATTCACTTGAAGGGGAACATTTTTTCTACAATGAATTTGTGTCCAGATGAAACTGCCACCCCAAAACAGACCTCCTAATGAAGAGGCCTACTGCTAAGGGGTCTGAGCCTAGGCTTGTACAGGTAAATCTCGGCTCCACTGCTCAACAGCTATGTGACCATGGACATGTCATTGGGCCTCAGTTTCTCCACCTGTGAAATGGGGATAAGAAGAGCACAATATTGCACGTGGTTAGGGTTGAAAAGCGTCGTCACACCTGCAGAAACAGGTCACTTAGAGGAAATGCTTTTCTGCAAGTCCTACGCCTGAGTTTGTCCACTTCAGGAGGGTCGGTTTCTCATTGGTCAGCTATTAATACAACTGTTATTGGCTGTGATGCACTCTGGTATTCTGCACAAGGTGCTCTCTTATTCATAAATTCTTGTCATTTACCGATTTTCTGAAAATAGTTCCAATTTTTTAAAAAAAAATAGTTCTTCTATTCTTCATTTCCTAAATGGTAAAGGTACAAATTCAAGCTATCAATTATTTTAAAATTATGGCCTCTGCAGTATTTTTCTTAATATTGATCCCTGATTCAGGAGGCAAAAAGAATTTTTAAAACCAGGTAATTTGTTGGAGCTACATACTTCACTTAGTTATAGTAAACAGGAAAAAAAAAAAAAAGTAAGAAAAATTCAATGATTTAATTTCTACGTCACTCAGAAGAAATACAAAGCTCTTTAAATCCTTAAAAGCTAGCCCTGGCTAGTGTGGCTCCGTGGATTGAGCACTGTCCCATGCACTGAGAGGTAGCTGGGTCAATTCCAGTAAGGACATTTATGCCTAGGTTGTGGGCTCGATCCCCAGGAGGTACCCGATCAATGTTCTCTCTCACCAATGTTTCTATCTCCCTCTTCTTTCCTCTCTCTCTCTAACATCAATAAAAAACATATTCTTTTTCAAAAGAATATCCTTGAAAGCTAAGTTATATAAATCATGATAAACACCAGCGCACAAATATCAATGATTGATAGCTGTATACAACTATAGGGAGGCAGAGTGGCATAGAGTACTAGCCCTGTGACTAACATGCAAGTTAGCTGAATTCAATTGGCCTCAGTTTCCCCTTTGAGGAAATGGGACCAATAACAATACCTAACTCACAGAGATGCTGTGGGCATGAAATAGGAATTGACATCTAAAAGCTGTGACCACAGTAAGCAGTGATCACAATATGCTGCCCAGAGTACCAGCTCAATTCACTGCTATGAATTGCATGTTACTGTTACAGTGAAAATCAGAGTGAAATGCCAAGGTCCTTTCTGAGCCATTCAGAAGCGGACTGTATAGTCTCTGAACCCTCCGGATCCTTCTGCCTCGTCTCTCCCCTTCTGCTGCCAACTTTCTGCCACTTCTTTATGTATTAGCTTCCCCCGGGGACCAGGAAGAAGAGAGGGGAGAGGTTAGGAAACAGAATCAGTCATGGTTCCTACCTATAACCATCTGAGAAACGTCAGTGCACAAAGCAATTTAAACTATTGGCCAAAATTATATTGGGGGGGGGGGGGGGGGTGAGGGGTGAATAGGCACATAGCTTGCTTGATTTCCCACTACTCTCAGGCTGCACTGAACATTAACCAGAGTACAAAATCTCCTGATGGCTCCAGGACTCTAGAAATGCTCTAAAATACTAAACTTTGGCTCAGAGGGCAGGGGACAGCTAAGGCTGACAACTCTGACACCACCTCTGCCAGGAGACTCTTCAGTCTCTCTCCCAGCCTTGCTGTGGTCACACGCCGATCAGGACACACCCAACTCCAATTTCACAGCAAAAGTGCAGGACAACGGAAGGGACTAGACTCAGAGTAAGGTGACCAGACATCCTGCTTTTGGAGGGACAGTCTCAATTTTTAACAATTTTTAACAAAAAATCGGGACTGTCCCGCCAAAAGCGGGATGTCTGGTCACCTTAGGCAACTTTGGAAATAGAGAAATTAATAAACTGACCCTGGCCACAATGCCAGCTTCTGCAAGTTATCACTAATTAACGTGGTGGGGAGGGGAAGCAAGCAATTTTGTGAGCGCACAAGCTTTTACATGTGAAGAGCTATGTCCCAACAATGCCCAAGATCAAATCCACATTCAGACCAAGGGGCAGTATTGCTCACCTGGGCTTCAGAGCATCCTCTCAAAGAGTGATGGGAACTCACTGCCATTTTCAAGTGTGTGGGCACAGCCCTGACCATTTATTGTTGTATCTGCTGCTGGTCATACAGCACAATGCTCTCCAGGGTGCGAAGGGCTTTATAAAATCTCCTAAGCCTAGGGTTCTTGGCTGTCCTTCATTAAGAATCTGGGATGGCCAAAACCGGTTTGGCTCAATGGATAGAGCGTCGGCTTGGGGACTGAAGGGTCCCGGGTTCGATTCCCGTCAAGGGCATGTACCTTGGTTGCGGGCATATCCCCAGTAGGGGGTGTGCAAGAGGCAGCTGATCGATGACTCTCTCTCATCGATGTTTATAACTCTCTATCTCTCTCCCTTCCTCTCTGTACAAAATCAATAAAATATATTTTAAAAAAAAAGAAAAGAAGAATCTGGAATGGTGGCCCTGTTCAGGGCCTGGGGAAAGCAGGCTGCTCTGCATTTGACCTCTGGTCAAAGTAAAACAGTACAGATCCGTCCCACAAGCCATGAGTCAAAAAGCGAACAGAAATGCTGTGTAAAACCTGCCATTTTTACTCAAGGTTCTGAGTTCCCTGCAGTGTTTCTGAAAACTTGTGTTGGATGCATTAGCCAGAAACAAGTGGGCTTCATTTATACTTGTCTCATCAATTATAAATTCCTGCAGCCAGTAACTGGGTCCTCCTTGTTGTTTATCCAATGGTGACAAGAAAAATACTGGATATAAAGGCTGTGGTGAATCTGAAGCACACAGGATAAAATTCTGAGAAGCAGCACAGCGCCATAAAATACCTATGCTCCGTTTCTTGGAAGAAAATACTTTTTAAAAGGAAATTTTTAAAATCTGAATGAAGATGATCACTGCTGTAACTTGTAAGCTACCTAAATAGTTATTTAAATAGTACTAAATAACTAAAAAGCTGTCTAAATAGTACGTATTCAATAGGTACTTCCATTTTTGTTACTATTCCTAGTAGATACTTTGAGCAATCTACTTAACTTCAGGTGCCTTAGTTTCTGCTTCCATGAAATGGGAACCTGCCTAATATAGCCCTTGTGAAGAATAAGTGAGATAATACATGTAAAGTAGGAGGAACAGTAACTACCCTGTTTCCCCGAAAATAAGACAGTGTCTTATATTAATTTTTTCTCCCCAAGTTGCGCTAGGTCTTATTTTCAGGGGATGTCTTATCTTTCCATACGCTAGGTCTTATTTTCGGAGGATGTCTTATTTTCGGGGAAACATGGTAGCACAGACTAAATACTCAATTAAGTGTTACATATTTGTTCAGCTATTCTAAATAAGTATAGTGACTGTTGTAAGATTAAACTGTTCATTAAAATGTTACATTTTAAATGACTATCAAATTATACATTGGCTTTTATTACAGTAACATAAAAATCTATGCCACAATTCAACAAACCATGAGTTGCACACATCTATTATTTTTTGGACACCATCTTAACAGTAGGAATATATAAGTGTTGAATAAGTAATTAGACTCCTTTGGAAGAGAGAGAGAGACAAACATAAACAAAAAAAATTTCAATGCAAAGTGGGATTGTGCTGGAAGAACACAGAGTTTGAACCCAATTGAGAATTCAGGAAGGGACTCTTGGTTGACAGTATGTCAGATCTGAGTCAAAGTTGAAGGAGAGAAAGAAGGGTACACATTCCAATAAGGCATCCATAACCAACTAGAAAATATCACTTAAAAAAGTATCTCTGTAGGAAAAATACAGATGCTACAAATATAATAAAAGAAACTTTTCATGAAGGACCAAAAGACCTAAATAATTCCTGGACAAAGAAACCATTTTTCAAGCTGGAAAAATATTATAAAGCTGTGAATCCTCCTCCAAATTAATCTAATGCTACATAATCCTAATCAAAATCCCAACAGGACTTGACAAGCAGACTACAAAGCTTATCTGAAGATATGCAAGAAGCAGCCAAGAGAATTAAAATAAAACAAAACAGAACAAAGGAGGCTTTGTCATACTAGACAAAAAAATAAGATAAGGAGAGGGTGGACAAAAGTAGGTTTACAGTTATTTGTATGGAAAAAGATATGCTGGTTATGATTATTATAATAGCTTTCTTAACACAAAAGAATGTCACTCACAACTATAAACCTATTTTTTGCCCACACCATAGATTATCAAACTACCATAATTTTAAAAATGTGTTATTGATGCAGGAATAGCAGAACTGCCGATTTAAAAACAAGAACATTAGCATATGACAACTGGTTTTGCAAATCATAGTGTGAAGGATTAAGGCCTCTGGGATATTTAGAAAACGTGTTAAAACCTCACACTATACCTTAAATAAAAATAAATCCCAAACAGATTCAGATCTAAGTGTAAAAAGGCAAAATAAAAAAATAGATCATGAGATAGATGAATATTTATATATTTTTAGTTTGTAGAATCCTTTCCTACATAAGATAGAAAGCTCAAAGAACACATAACAAATTTTACTGCAAAACATTTTAAATATCTTTATATAAGAATGTACTTTAGCCCTGGCTGGTTTGGCTGAGTGGATACAGTGTTGGCCTGTGAACTGAAGGGTCCCAGGTTCAATTCCAATCAAGGCCACATGTTTTGGGCTTGATCCCCAGGAGGGGATGTGCAGGAGGCAGCCAATCAATGATTTTCTCTCATCACTGATGTTTCTATCTCTCTCTCCTCCTTTCCTCTCTGAAATTAATAAAAATGTATTTTTTAAAAAGAAAAGAATACACTAAAAACTTTAAGCCCAAAACTAGAGCCTGCACTTGGTTGGGTCTGCAAAGTTTTTCTTGTTATTGTTGACTTATTTGTTTTTTTAAATGGAGTAAGCTGCCAACATTTTAAAAAGTCAGGATATTTACACATCTGGCAACACCATTTTTCACTTCCATTTGGCAATACTGTAGCCAGCTGTGGCTGAGAGGTGGAGCCCTCTTGTGGTGGGGCAGCAGCTCTCAGAGGTTTATCCCACCTCTACTCATTGACTTTACATCCATGGTCACTTCAGGCATTTGTGAACCTTATGATAAAAGACAAGAGACTAATATCTACATATATAAACATAACAAAATAAATATGAAAAAGATAAACAAGCCAATTAAAAAAAAATTAGCAAAGGCCACTTACAAAAGTATGCAAATGGCTGATAATCGTATGAAAAGAATAGTCTCTCAATCAGAGACATTCACACCAGGTTTCCAGGAATTTGCCATGTAGAAACTCACATATGCCTAGATGTTCAATATAGCATTGTTTATAATTGGCAAATGGAAGTGATCTAAATGCTCATGAATAAGGGAGAGATTAATTACATTATGGTACATCCACGGGCTGAAATACTACATAGCCATTAACATGGCTGGGGGGGAGGGGAGGAGGGTCTGTTTGTTGATGTAGAAAAAACTGTCAGCCACAGTAATGTTAAGTGGAAACATCAAGTGCTATAATAATCAGCATAACTATCAATTTGAGTAAAAATATACATGTAGGTTATAGGTACACCCCCCATGTATATCATTTTCCCCTATTAACCACTATCAATGTATTTATAGAAAAAACTACACTAATAAAAGAGAAAGATGCAAATTGACCATACCTTCGCAACGCTCACCCACAAATCAGGAATATACAAATTAATCCAACAAAGAAAGCAGATTAACTTGCATACACAGACGCTGAGTGGCTGGGGGTGGGACGCTTGTGTCGTCAACATGGCAACGACGCAGGCGTTCTGCAACGCCCCAGCCGCTCGGGCCTCTGGGCAGCGTGGGAAGGCAGGAAGGCGGCTCCACCTGAGCGAAGGCAGTGCCGGCAGCCAGCGGACGGAAGGGCCATTCTTGCACGAATCTTCCTGTACTGGGCCTCTAGTACATTTATAATTTATAAGTATTGATGTGTATTAAAAATATATAAGTATGTCTATAGATCACATGTGTCAAACACAAGGCCCGCGGGCCAAATCCGTCCCGCCAGGCCTTGCAATGTGGCCCGCACCGCGCTGTCATCACTGCACTCCGCTGCGTTTCCATCACAATGACAGTTTATGACTGTTCAGTAAACCATTCGGCCCGCGATTAAGGCTGGATTTTAGATTTTGGCCCCTTCTCTGATTGAGTTCGACACCCCTACTATAGATAGACATGTTTTACTCTATAATTTTTCATGTCATTTGCAATTTTTCTAAGCATGAATTCAGGCATTACTCAAATACTTTTTTTTTTTTTTTCAAAGAGGACAGAAAGAATATTCCTTGGTGACTACCAAAGATTTGTCAAGAAAGAAAAGAATTTCATCGCCGGGACCGGTTTGGCTCAGTGGATAGAGCGTCAGCCTGTGGACTGAAACGTCCCGGGTTCGATTCCGGTCAAGGGCATGTACCTTGGTTGCGGGCACATCCCCTGTGGGGGGTGTGCAAGAGGCGGCTGGTCAATGTTTCTCTCTCATCGACGTTTCTAACTCTCTGTCCCTCTCAATTCCTCTCTGTGTAAAATCAATAAAATATATTTTTTAAAAAATTTAAGAAAGAAAAGAATTTCATGAGGTTTAGTGAGAGAGTTGTGGAGCAATGGAGGCGTGCTGAGCACCAGTTGACACAGCAGAAGACACGTGTGTCGAGATGACAGACAACCTGCTGGGCCTTACACCCTAGTCTGAGCATCACTCATAACCACTGAACGTTTCTTTGTTGCTTTAAGTAAAGCTCCTAGAATTTGTTTAAAAATAATATTCTTGTCCAACTGGAGTGGCTCAGTGGTTGAGCACTGACCTATGAACCAGGAGGTCACGGTTCAATTCCTGGTCAGAGCACAGGCCCAGGTTCCTGACTCTATACCTAATGGAGGGCATATCGGAGATAGCCAATCAATGATCCTCCTTCATTGTTGATGTTTCTCTCCCTTCCTCTCTGAAACCAATATCTTTTAAAGAAATAATAGTAATAATATTCCTGACATCAAATTTTAAATATGAAGTCATCTTAGCGGTATAAATAACACACTAAAAAGGGGCTGGAAGAAAATATGCTAACCTGTATATGGATGGCGGTTGCCTCTAGGAAGGCGGGAGTAGCAGTGATAGCCTTTCTGCGTCTTTACCATTTTCCTTTCTCCAACTTTCTAGAATAACTACATAGTAGTTTTCATCATTAGAAAAAAGGAACACTACCAAAACTGGTTTGGCTCAGTGGATAGAGCATCGGCCTGGGGACTGAAGGGTCCCAGGTTTGATTCTGGCCATGGGCATGTACCTTGGTTGCGGGCACATCCCCACTAGGCAGCTGATTGATGATTCTCTCTCATCGATGTTTCTAACTCTCTATCCCTCTATCTCTTCCTCTCTGTAAAAAAAAAAAAAGCCAATAAAATATATTGAAAAAGAAAAAGGAACATTTACCAAAACAAACTTTACACTAGAGTAGAAATAAAGCTAGTGTTCCCCATGGCCTGGCCCAGCCCTCAAGTGAAGTAAACATGTATAATGGCTTCCCCATCCCTGTTCAGACTTCCTTTGACAAGTGGGGAGTCCCCTGACTCCTTGCTCCTCACATCAGGGCAGGAAACATGGGGGTGCCGGAGATGGATACAGGTGGACCAGAAGAAAAGAGCATTCTTGTATTCTTGTCCTTTCTTGGGTTCCATTGATTCTTCCCCCACTTCTGAACAGCTCTGGGTCGTCTTGGGCCCTACCATCTTTATTTCCTACCACCTCTTCCTGTATCTGCTTTGCTCCTGTTTTCCTATTCCTTTCCTGACTCCTTTCTCTACCCTCCCACCTTTTCTCTTCCTTTGTCCAAGTCACCCAAGTTCATATTGGGAGGGTTTTGCAGGATGGGAAGGGAGAAGGTTGGGGTGGATGGGAATATTCTAATAGGGTAGGCGACCACTTCCAGACTCAAGCTTTGGGTCAATAACGATGGCCATCTGGGGAAGAGGTGAGATGCCAGATAGAGGATACAAAATAAGAAAGACAATCCTATACAGGTAATAGTAATACAATCCAAATATCATCTCCTGATCACAGATTGGTGCTCCAGTGTGGGAGGCTCAAAAGTCACTGACAACATCAACAGACAATCCCCCAAAGTCGGCGTTATGGGTTACTGCCCAATGTGTCACCATGATCAGAGCCTAAAAAATAAAATAAAATAAAATAAAATAAAATAAAATAAAATAAAATAAGGTAAAAATAAAAGCAAAATTAAAGGACCGTTGTAAGCATCTTAGGAAGCTAAGATGCTTTCCCCACTGGGATCTAGTCCAAGGATGCAACTGGCCTACAGACACAATACCTGCAAGGAAACCACTCAGCCTGTAGACTTCCTTGGGGCCTCTTCTTCCTTTAAAGGTCTCAGTTCCTTGGGAGCTTTGCCAGAATCCACCTCCCACCTCAGCACAGCCTCCTGTGACCGCCCAGCAAATATTCAGGGAATGGAAGGGGAGGCAGCAGCGCCCTGCTGGGTGGGAGCTTACCTCTTCTGGTTCATGGAGGCCACCTGGAGCCACTCGTTGGTGCTGGGGTTGTAGGAGTGCGCGGCGGAGATCTCCTGGCTGGTGATCCTGTAGCCGCCCACGATGAAGAGGTAGTTGTCCAGGATGGCAGACCCGTAGCCCCGGACGTTCACCAGGTCGGGAGGAAGGTTGTTGGCCAGCGGGAACCAACGCTCCGTCATCTCCTCGTACCTGAGCATGGACGGGGGCTCCCCCTGGTAGGGGTGCGGGGCCAAGGGCCCCCCCAGGAAATCCCCCAGGGCCACGAGGACGGGCGTCCCCGTCATCCGGGCCTCCCTCAGCCTCTGCTTCAGGCTGACGTCCCCGGGGGCCTGCGCGGGGGAGCCCAGGAGGTGGAACTGGGGCTTGCACAGCACCTCGTGGAAGTGGACCACCATGAAGCGCAGGCAGGCCTCCTGCAGGTCGGGCAGCCCGTACACCTGCGCCAGGCGGTACAGCTCCAGGCAGTTGGTGAGCCGCACCTGGGACAGCAGCAGCTGCAGCAGCGACGTGACCTGCAGGAAGGAGGCCGCCTCCACCAGCTCGGACAGCAGGCCCGCCTCGTCCAGGTCCTCCTCGTCGGCCGCGCCGCCGCCGCCCTGGTCCCCCCGCGGGCCCAGCAGCCAGCAGCCCTCGCGGGCGCCGCCGGCGTTGATGAAGTCCAGCACCAGGCGCAGGCCCGGCGCGCTCAGGCCGCGCAGCTGCTGCACCTCGGGGCCGCCCGCCTCGGCGCGCAGGGCCTCGCGCATGCCGGAGCGGTAGAGCGCGCGAAAGTAGTCGCTCTGCTCGATGAGCTTCCTCTTGCTCACCGGGTAGCAGCGGTCCTCCAGGCGGATCTGCACCATCTCCTCGGCCGACATGGCCGCGGGGGCCGCGGCGGGGCCCGCCAGCTCTGCGCGCTCGCCTCTCCTCCGCCCCGCGCTCGCCGGGTTCCGGCTGGGCGCGCCGGGGGCTGGCGCCAGAGGAGGAACGGGGGAAGGGGGAGGAGGAGGAGGAGGCGGAGGCCTGCCAAGGGCCGCTGCTCCCGCCTGCGCTCGCCCGGCCGATCTGGGTGGCGAGGCAGCCCCTCCTCCTGGGCCCGGGCGCCGGGCTCAGTCGCGCTGCCCCCGAGCGGCGACCCCGTCCTCCGGGGCGCGCTCAGCGCCAGAGAAGGGCCGGCGGGCGCGCGGCGGGCGCGGGGAGGCGGCCGTCCCCGCGGGGTCCGACCCGGGCCCGGCCCGCACCTCCGCCCACACCGCTGCCGCACTTCCGCCCGCAGGACCTCTGCGGCCCGCACACCCGCGCGCTGGCTCCGGCTCCGGCTCCCCGGGAGCGCCGGCGGCTGCGGCCTCGGACCCGGACTCGGTGGCGGCGCGGGAGGCGGGAGGCGCGGCCCCGCGGCCTCCCCCGCTGGCCGGGCGCGGCGGCTCTGCAGTTGCGGGGTTTGCGGCGGTGCTCGCCCGGGGACCGGAGAGGAGATGCGGCCAGGCTGCTTTTCTCTTCCAGGGCAAGACGAAAAGCCGAAGGGACTGGCCTGGGAGGAGAGGGGTGAAGGAAGTCCGGGGTCCAGGGAGTCAGCAAAGCATCACTTCTGGGTTCGCCCCTCGGGCCCAGCCCCGCTTCGTGTCCGTGTCCAGGGGGGCTGAGGCTCACTGGCCGCCTCCGATCGGGTCGCGTAGGTGGCACCCACAGCGGAGCCTTGGGCTTGTCATTGTGGAGGAGCCATCTTGCAGAAAGTCCGGCCAGCTGGCAGCAGGTTCTGCGGGGCTCGGAGCATGGGGTGCACCCGATATAAAGGCCTGGGAAGCAGGAGAGCATGTATTTGCTGCTGCTGCTGCGGCTGTGGCCCGTTATCCGATTTGTTTTTTGTTTGTTTTTTTTGTTTTTTAAAAAATATATATTTTATTGATTTTCTTACAGAGAGGAAGGGAGAGAGATAGAGAGCTAGAAACATCGATGACAGAGACACATCGACCAGCTGCCTTTTGCACACCCCCCACCGGGGATGTGCCCGCAACCAATGTACATGCCCTTGGCCGGAATCGAACCTGGGACCTTTCAGTCCGCAGACCAAACGCTCTACCGCTGAGCCAAACCGGTTTCGGCCCGTTATCCGATTTGTGCTATTAAAAGAAAGAAGTACAGCTCAACTAAAGTTAGACCTCGTGCCTTCTTTTAAAAATACTTTCTAACATATAGGAAAGCCATTGCTTTCCCTATTTCGGCTTGTTGGACTAGCCATCAGGAAATGATGTCTTTGGGCAGAAAGCCCGGCTACTTTGCTCCTGTTGGCCTAAAGAGGCGTCTTTTCTTGCCACCCGGTTATCCTTTCTTCCCCTCCCCCACAGCCCTACCCTCACACACCACTAACTACTCAAGGTAGGACCACTTGTTCTTCATCTTCCCTCACATTGCGAATAGAAAGCTCACCCCCGAATAATACAAAGGACCTCGAATAATACAAAGGACCTCGCGTTGCCATGAGATATGAATTAATCCTGGGGAGGGGCAGGATTGGGAGGGAGGAGGGGTGGTTCACTCTTATCTTATAAAACACCCCTGAAAACTTTCCCACACCAAGATTTGAGAAACAACCATAATAGTCTGTAACTTGGGGAGAATATGTGTTTTTCTTTTTTTTATGTGTTTGGACATCGTTTTTATTATTACAAGCTTCAGCATTCTTCTTGAATGACAAGTTGTTAAATAATGCCTTCTTAATAAGTACAGTTCCCCTGTTTCGATCAGAAGATACCTCCAATGCTGATTAACACTTTAACTTAGGATGGGGAAAGTTAAAAACCAGAGAAGAAAGTCCTATCTATAAAATAAGAAATTCTCTCCACACATTGTTTGGTTCCATTTGTGTTTCTCTCTCTTTGTAACTTAGCTGCTTCACAGTAAGGTGATGACACCCATTATTTTCTTTAAAATCCACCATGAATAAGCAACTAAAATTTTAAAGGCATAGAAAAAAAAAATCGAGTAGATTCTGGCCTCCCTGGAAAAGGCGAAGGAAATAAAGATGGATTTATGACTTGCCTCTGAGATTCCGTGAAAAAAAACGTCTAGCTTTTCACCTTGTTTCCCCTGGCCTTTGTCATCCCTAATAAACGTCATTCTCACATGGACCTTTCCTGCTTGTCCTCAATGAGACATTCTAAGGTTCTTAGGGGGGTGAGTGACCATGAATTTAGCAACTGCGTTGGGAAGATACAGTGTCATGCTCAGAACCAGGCCTGCAGCTGCGGACCTTGTGCCGGGAGATGCCCCCTGCATCCAAGAGACTTGGACCTGGGATGTGTTTGTGCCTCCATCAGCGACAATGCCAGGTTCAGTAACCAGCCCAGAACAGGCTCTTAGTCTCTCTTCAGCCCCTTTAGAATCTTTCACCAATGGCACCTTTGTTTCCCTGCCGTCATAGATATGCCTCCGACTGGTATTTTCTTGCCTTTGAAAAACACACCAAAAAAAAAAAAAAAAGTCACAGTCAAAGAATGATGTGCTTTAGAAAGGCAAATCGTGCGCTGGTAATATTATCAGAGCAAGATCAACTCTGACAGGGAATCTGGGGTGTTAGTTTGACAACACTGGGCACTGATCCTGTAAGCTTCTTGGCCCCGACAGGATAACATCATTTAGGACTGGAAGCATCTTAAAAGATTTGAGTCTTTTTAAAAGCACACAGTACGCTTTCTGTTAAACTAGAAGACCAATATAAACTCTCTTATTTACAAAGCTTGTAAAATATTATTTCTAAGCTTCATAAAAGTATTGCTTATATATACCTGAAGGCATAATTTTATAGATCTGTTATTGACCGATCGTTGAATAACAAAGACAGGCCTTTGTAGTAGCTATGATTCACTTCGAGCCCTTTATATCACCATCTTTTGTACAGGAGACTAAAATAATGGTCAAACAGAGTTAGGCTACTTCTTTAAGAATTTATAGAAAACATGCCTTTTAACCTAGAAGGGGGGAAAATGTAAGTACAAGATGTTTATCTTTTTTTAATATATTTTATTGATTTTTTTACAGAGAGGGATAGAGAGTTAGGAACATCCATGAGAGAGAGTCATTAATCAGCTGCCTCTTGCACACCCCCTACTTGGGGATATGCCCGCAACCAAGGAATATGCCCTTGACCAGAAATCGAACCTGGGACCTTTCAGTCCACAGGCTGATGCTCTATCCACTGAGCCAAACCGGTTTCGGCAAGATGTTTGTCTTAATTTTGCTTTAGCAATAAAAAAAAATTGGAAAACAATGTATAATAATTGCTGCTAACATTTACTGAATGTTATCCTATATAATAAAAGCCCAGGACCATAAGAGTAATGACTGGAATGACCATTCGACCAGTCGCCATGAGGTGCATTGACCACCTCCTAGTACCTCCCCAATCACAGCATGGCAAATGGGGAACCATGGCGAATTGGGGAGGGTGGCAGCAGGGTGGGACTGGGGACTGCTGAGCAGTGGCAGGCACTGAGTGGCAATGAATATCCAGCAGTGAATGGTAGCAAGCATCATGGGGGGTGGGGGGGCGATTTCGTGTGCTGGTTCTCTAGTTACATATAATAGTGCCAGGCACTGTTGGGCTTTACATAGACTGCAATACTATTTTTATACTCTTTCAGAGCTGAGGAAGCTGAGGTACAGAGCTAATTTTCACACATACAATGAAATATCATAGAGCTATTACAACTTTTGATGTAGACATCTTCCTTTAGAGACACTGAAAAATATAAATTGATACTGTATTTAAAAAGCAAACAAACAGGTTCTAGCACTGGCCAGGTGGCTCAGTTGGCCATATACCAAAAGGTTGTGGGTTCAAATCCCAGTCAGAGAAGATATCTAGGTTGTGGGTTCAATCCTGAGTTGGGCGCATACAGGAGGCAACCAATGAATGCTTCTTTCTCACATTAATGTTTTTCTCTCTCTCCCTCTTTAAAAATCAGTAAAAACATATCCCATGTGGGGATTAAAAAACACACACACAAAATTCAGGTTCTAAACTAGTATGAATCCATTCATGCAAAATGGTGTAAATGCATCTGTTTTTTTTAGAGATGTCTAGAAGGATTTTTCAAAATGTTAAGATTATAAGATCTTGAGTAGTTTTTATTTCTTTTTATATTTTTCTATATGGTTTGGTTATTTTAAATGATTATGTAGCAATTTAATAAAAGCGAAACACTTTAAGAAAATTAATGATATTTATATTTCTCAGACCCTATTTCTTTAAAATAATTTGCATCAGCAGTAGCCAGGCCCAGAGCATCCAGGCCTGGAGCAGCCAGGCCAGGAGCAGCAGCCAGACCTGGAGCAACCAGGCATGGAGTGTTGTGGAGTCGAACCCTGGGTTCAAAATGAAAGGAAAGAAGAAGCAGTGCAGCCAATTCGGGTACCAGAGTGTTATGTCCGTCATCACAATGTGTCCCTTCACCCAAAAGGACTGAGAGTTGCCCAGATGACAGCAAAGTAGAAGAAAACTGAAGGCTATGCAAGGGACTGAAGTGCCAACATGGAGTCATCTGAAGAAATTAAAGACTGAAGTGGAAGCTACTTCTTTAATCATGTTCCTGCTCATGCTAGCATCTGTTAGCTTTCAGTCTTCTGCGAAGTCTTGTGCAGCAAGTCCAAGGACTCTGAGTAAATCTACACCAGCAACAAAAGAGACTCATTTAGTAGCTAAAAATATTAATATGTCCATAATTCTGATTTCTCATTTTGTTGTTTTGCATTGGCATTGTTGTTATTATTTAATAGCCAGAGTTTTGCTCTTGACATTCAAGTTTTGAAAATAACATGTATGTGGTTTAGTTTTTGCATTGGCAAAAAAAAAAAAAAAAAAAAAAATCTGAAGATGAGAATAAACTGGTGAATATAATAGAATCAGGGGCAAAGAAAGGGAGTGGATTGATAATTATCAGGGGGAAAGGAGTGTGGGGTGCAGAAAGAGACTGGATTAAAATCATATAACCTATGGATGAGAACAATGGAGGGGGGGGGAGGTAAGGGCAGAGGGTGTGGCAGGAACCTGGTGGAAGGGAGCTATGGGGGGCGGGGGGGAGGAGAAACAAGTGTAATAATCTGAGCAATAAAGATTTATTTAAAAAAATAAAATTAAAATAAAATAATTTGCATCAATTTTATCAAGTGATGAAATGAAAATGGTTAGTAAATATACAATTAGCATCTTTTTAAATAAGGATGAAATATTGACTGTTTTTCAAACGTCTTTTGAATTTAGTAAACCTGTGCTATTACTTCACTACCACTTAAAAATTAACTTTATATTTCAATCCCTCCAATATTCCTAGAAAAAAAATTTTTATCCTCACTTGAGAATATTTTTCTGTTATATTTTAGAGTGGAAGAGAGAGGGAAAGACAGAGAAAAATATCGATGTGACAGAAACACATCAATTGGTTGCCTCCTGCACTTGCTCTGACCAAGACCCTGGCCAGGGAGGAGACTGCAACTGAAGTATATGCCCTTTATAGGAATCGAACCCAGGACCCTTGGGTCCGCAGGCCGATGTTCTATCCACTAAGGCAAACCAGCTAGGGCTAGGACAACTTTTTAATTTGTTTTAACAAGCAAAGTCAACTTTTCCTTTCTTAAAGCATATGGAACAATTTAAAGTATACCACAGTTCTTACTAGGAAAATGGCGCTATATAAACTAGGCTGAACATCTACACAGAGACAAAACTTCCTTTTATTTCAATCACCTATATCAGTGTGCTTTTCAAACATCTTAGGAAATCACCTGGGGCACATACTTATAAAAATAAGAACTCTGCTTCCCACACCAGAGCTATTGAACCAGGCGCTTGGGAAAGATGAGTGGCTGTTAGGGCAGAAGTCTAATTTTTGAATCTCTCTCAAGAGTACCCACTTGGAAAGAAGTATAATATATCACGCATGGCAATAATGCAAAGACCCTGGGTATTTTAAAGCTCTTTTTCAATGTTTTATTCAGAGTTGTAGCTGCTTTCTGATTTCTGTAATCTCATCTCACACGGGCACGTTTCAGATTAGACGTGGCTGGGCCCCATCTCTGTGCCCTTGTGTAACCCCTCCTGTGCCCTGCAGATCATGCGCCAGCTCCCCTTTTCAAAATGCTGGGCTTTAAGAAGTTACTCATTCCAAGACTCAATATTTATGCAATCACCAAAAGAATGTTTACAAAATTGTGAAGCATGCTTTTACATTGGAATTTGTAGATTAAAAAAAAATTAGTTATTGTTGAAGGTATTACATATGTCCTCTTCCCACCCCACCCTCACTGTCCCCTTCCAAAATGCAACTTTGACCTTCACTTGAACATCATTCGATAGCAAAAGGATTGAACAATTGTGGATTGTTCCATTATCCCTGCAGGAAACATGAGAACGTTAAGGAATTAAATCACACAAAAGGAACCACATTTGATGTGATGAAAGATGTGGAGGTTACGAGGTTAGAAAGTAGTCTTTCTGGTTTATGTTCCCAGGGCATGAACTAATTAGAATAGCATGAACTAAACATAATTATGCACGCTCATAAAAAAACAGGGGTACTTTTTTTGTTCATCTGCTCCTTTGCCATTAGGGAGTTTGTCTTCTCTCCCCTTGTGGAACAGATGGATCAGTTAGATTTTTTATAGGTAAGCAACTGAAACTTGCTTTCTATGAATTCATTAGAATAAAGTATACATATCATTTTTAGTGTATTTTATGTGGCTTATGCAGGTTAAGAGTTAATATATAATGTAATTATTGCTTGGAAGAAAGTAAATGGTTTTTTTTGTTGTTGTTGTTGTTCATCCTCACCCTAGGATATTTTTCTATTGGTTTTTTAGAAAGAGTGAAAGGGAGGAGGAGAGACAGAAAGAAACATCGATGTGAAAAAGATATATCAATTGGTTACCTCCCACATGAGTCCCAGCCAAGGCTGGGGATCAAGCATGCAACTGAGGAATGTGCCCTTGACCAGAATCGAACCTGAGACCCTTCTGTCTGCAGGCTGATGCTCTAGCCACTAAACCAAACCAGCTATGGCAAATGTTTTGTTTTTAAAATTATTCAGTCTTTTGAATAATTATTAATATTTACGTTTCTAAAACTCTAAAGATGTGATAGGGTATTATTAGGAAACAGGTGGTGAGATGAAAGTTCAAAGAATGTTGACATTTTTGTGTCAAGTCAGTGAATTGAGTCATTGTGCAAAAAAAGTAGGGAAGAAATATAGATCCCAGGATAGGAAAAGTTTACTTGAATAAAAAAGGAGTAGTTCTTTATGCTCGAATCAGATTACCACTGATGCTCTGTGTAAAATGGATACAAAAAAAGCAACAGTTTTATGCTTTGAACTAATGTCATTTTGAATA